TACAGTGGGGTCTTGACTTACAAACTTAATCCGTATTGGAAGGCAGTTCTCAGGTCGAAAAGTTCTTAAGTCGAATCTGCATTTCCCATAGGAATGCATTGAAAACCATGTAATCCGTATCTGCTCTTTTCGGCCATAGAAACTAATGGGAAGCTGCTATTCCGCCTTCTGCCACTAGAGGGGGATATTTTTTTCTTTTTTCCTTTTAACCTAAGATGACTTAGCTTTTAAAAAAAGGAAAAAAAGAGTTCGTAACTCGAATCTAAGTTCGTAAGTCGAGTCCATATATTCCTATGAGAGCGGTTCGTAAGTCGAAACGATCGTATGTCGAGCCGTTCGTAAGTCAAGACCCCACTGTATTATTATAGAGCAATAGAAGTATCTGTTCTTATCAGTTTAATATCTGGTACATCCTCTATCTGAGGACTACATATTAAATGGATTTTTGGAGCTGGGTTAGCCACCCAGAGTGGTCAACCAGACCAGATGGGCGGGATATTTATTAATTAATTAATTAATTAATTAATTAATTAATTAATTAATTAATTAATTAATTAATTAATTAATTAGGATACAAACAATCCTCTGGTGTTGTCAAGTACCTTCCCAATTGTAAGCTTTGCACCCCTGCTTGCTTAGGAAAGGATTAGATAGTCCTGACCCTCCAGGGCTGCTCATATGTTCTTTGTTGTCCCTTTATCCATAGAGGCAGTTGTTCTACTTGACTTGCCACCCTTGATGTCGTAATCTTTGTCTCCCACGACCCTTTGTGACAGTTAACATTCTTTCTCTGATCTGGCAAATTCAGAAGTAACTTGAAGTAAAATAGGAAACCATTGTCCACACTGCTCCTCTTAGCTCCTACTCTGTTGAAACATTGATGTGTACCTAGCTAAAAATGACATGCTTTGAATTTTAATGAACTCTCTACGGAGCATATGGAATGGCTGGCCCAAAATGTTAATCTAAAAAAGAGCGCCTGGTTGGTGTCTGTGGCTTCTTGTATTTTAGTACATAAAAGCAAATATTGCTTAAAGGCATGATGCATAAGCTGGAGAGGTGTCCCTATAACTTGCAGCACTTCTATAAATTGCCTGGCGTTATTTCTGCTGAAAAAATATTAGCTTCACAGAGAAAATGTTAGCATCATTTTTTTTAAAAGTCAACTTTGAAATAACACAGTTACCTTAATATGCTAATTGGATACTGAAGGGTTTTCTGGCTGTCCTTTCTGCAGATTTTGGCGTTAGTGCATTTTTAGCCACAGGAGGTGATGTTACCCGTAACAAAGTAAGAAAGACATTTGTTGGTACTCCATGTTGGATGGCACCTGAAGTCATGGAACAGGTAGATGGACAATTTGAGTTTCTCATGTAATACCTTGTGTTAAAAGCATATTGGTGCATAATTAACATGAGTCTTTGATGTCTTCCTCCAACAGGTGAGAGGCTATGACTTCAAGGCTGATATTTGGAGCTTTGGAATAACAGCCATTGAATTAGCTACAGGGGCTGCACCTTACCACAAATATCCTCCAATGAAAGTAATTATCATCTGAAACAAGTTATTAAGTCTAATCATGTGTGTGTCTGGGTCTGGGTCTGTGTATTTATAAATATAAAGCAATTTAGCTCCACTAACATTCTTTCTTGGATTCAGTGAGCAGGATTCATAACAAAATGTTGCAGGGTAGTGCTGCTCCGTAACAGCAGTAGATCTGTTCTGGGTGCTAGCCAGCCTGTCCTCCAAAACACAACAGTAGATTGAATCGGGCACTTCCTCTTCTCTCTTCACCCTATAGTCTTTGCAGTTGATGCTCAACACATTTTGCAGCTCTAGTGACCTATAAGTATGATCAGGTTGCATTGGGGCAGGTTATTGGGACAAGGGGGTGGCGGCGGAGGCCCTTAGGGATTAAAATTTGCTTTGTTCTTTTGCTTGTCTCTTAGTCACTTGACCATGCTGGCACACTTTTTCTTCTTCTTTTCCTCTCCTGTGTCCTCATTTTAAATCCTGTTCCAGTCAATCTCTCAATCACTTTAGTTCACTATTAGAAGAAATTTTTATTGTACTCTTAGCTTGATTTACATATGAGCCAAACAAGACTTCCTAGTATGAATGTGTGAAAGGGACAGAGTTTGCAGACTCTCTTGACTTGTTTTCTTAAAGCTGGCTTATTTGGATTTGCATCTCAAAAAGGGGCTACAGAAAATAACGTGTAAGTGGCCTGTATTGAGTTCCTAATATACTTAGGAGGAAAAACATCTTGTCAAGATAACAAGTAAAACACCAGCTTTTCTGAGTAAATCCAGAATGTGAAGTTTGAGATTTTCATTTCTAGACTGTAGAGCAGTGATCCCCATCCTTGGGCCTCCATATGTTCTTGGAATACAACTCCCAGAAGCCTTCACCACCAACTTTGCTGGCCAGGAGTTCTGGGAGTTGGAGTCCAAGAACATCTGGAGGCCCAAGGTTGGGGACCACTGCTGTAGAGGACTGTTAGTTGTTATTCTTTTGAACTTACTTGCCAGACCCACTGATATGCCAACCTGGTGTTTGTTGAACTCTGAAATCGGTGGGAGACTCTCAAAACATACTAGTATGTTTTCTGTGAACAACAGCCTATCAGGAATAACCATCGAGTTCTGTGTAATGTTTGTAGATCAGCTTCTTAGGCCATTGATTTTCCTGAGGCTGTGATTGCATAGACATTTAACTCATATTCTGGACTGCTTGTGTGGTGTGGTCTAGTGTGGGTTATTTTCCAGTGATTTCACGGTGTGTTTGAACTCACCTTGGCTGAGACCATTTTTAAATCACCACTTTTTTTAAAAAATAGGTATTAATGCTGACCTTGCAGAATGACCCTCCAACATTGGAAACAGGTATTGAAGATAAAGAAATGATGAAAAAGTATGGCAAGTCCTTTAGAAAACTAATTTCTCTGTGTCTTCAAAAAGATCCTTCCAAAAGGTAAGTTTCCCTGAAATAAATAGGGATGTGGTGATGAGAATTGCTGATAATAAGCAGTTTTCTGAGAAGAAGTGGCGCGTAGTTTAAATTGCTCTGTTAAAGAGTTTTTCCTGTTTAAATTCATATCTGACATTCTTAAATGTCTAAATACTGTGCATTGGACATAGCATTGGATTCTACTGGTTCTCATGCTTTAAAAACGGATCTAAAACTAACTCTTTCAGACTGCAGGGAACATAATGCTTAGTTCCAGAGATGACTGCACACCTTCCTTCTGTTATAGAAAGGCCAAAAAAGGGTTTGGTTTTCTGATGGACCATTGGACTATCCGATGCTGAACTTGGATGAACTCAGAAATCATCTGAGAACATCATTTGAAAATATCCAGCAGGATAGGGGATGTTAGTCTGTTTCAGTGGAGGGGGAAAGGAAAGGAAAGGAAAGAAGGGAAAGGATGTTGGCCTCTTAAAGACCTTTCTCACATAGTCCCCAAAGCTAGCTGCTCCCAGCCCCCACCTCCAAAATTGACTCCCTATCCCCCACCCGTTCTCACTAAATGATGGTATTTGGATCAGCAGTGGAGATACAGAATGATCTCCATTGCCCTAAATTGCGAGGAAATAACATTGGCATGTACATGTGTGCTCTCCTCCCACCAGTGGGGCTGAGATCATGGGAGATGTCATTCCCTCCCCCCCAAACCTGCTGCAGTTTTGGGCAGTATGGGGCCAGATGGCGTGTCGTGTCTGAAACTGTTAGGTTGGGGATACCAAGGCTTTTAAGTCAGAAGGGTAGAGGGTTCTCATTTCAGAATCTGAGTTGCTATGTAAGAATGCTGAGTCTTTAAAAGGAATCACCTGTTTTCTGCTTCCCCCACCTTTTGAATTTTAAAATCTCAAATGTTGCATCCCATTTATGATGGAATTTGTGGAGTTTAGTAAAATGCTCCTCTTAAAGCAAACTGAACAAAATGCTCAAATATCTGCACTGGCCAAATTCACAAGATACAAACTATTCATGCCTATACTCTGTAGATACTAATGATAAGAAGCCAGTACAGTAACAAAATGGCTACAGATCTGATGCAGCACTAGAAACATGGTTGAATACACAAGGATTCAAAGCCAGGCTAAGTGCCAGACACTCAAAACTCTCTGCCTGGATGAATATGGCATTGGTCAGTTTTTAAAATCACATTTGTTTGTTTGTTTGTTTTAATGTCAAGTTTTTCAAGTTTATGAAGGTATTTGTGAACTTTGGGAAGTTCTGGTTTGAAAAAGGAGCTGAATAAAACTCTCAATCTATACCTGTTTCTGTGTAGTGTATCTCTAACTTGGGGTTTCAGAGCACAAAGGTTATTTTAGCAATTCGCTGTTTACATTCTTATTTGGATGAATTGGATATCTCTGTGAAAAGAATGGCAAAAACAAAGCCATGTGCCCTTTTAAAAATATTGTATTAACTTACTTTTAACAAATAGACCAATTGTGAAGGCAAGTTAATAATATACAGGTCAGTGTAGATACAATACAACCTTGTGAATTCTTAAGGAGGCTCTTTTTTTGGTCTTTTGCCTTCACACTCTGGACCATTTGCAAACTGTAGTGAAATTTCATGACCTTTTAGTATTAAGCGTTTCGCTTACCGATCTTCGCAAAACGAAGCCCGACGATCAGCTGTTCGGCGGCCAAAATGGCCGCCGGAAGCCCGGAAATGGCCCAAAATGGCCGCGCGCAGCGTTTTCGCGCCCTCGTTAAGCGAGGTGAGGGCGTGAAAATGGCTGCCGGCCATTACGAAGCTTCGCTGAACGGTGAGTATTTGGCCCATTTGGAACGCATTAAACGATGTTTAATGCGTTCCAATGGGTTTTTTTGATCCGTTCAACGATGCTTCAGCATAGCGAAGGTTAATCCGGAACGGATTAACCTCGCTATGCGAGGCACCACTGTATTTTACTAATTCAGAAGCCCCCAGGGCATAAACTTTAAGCCAAGGGTCTGCCACTTGGTAGCAGATTAAAATGGGTTTAATTATTTACCATTTCCCCTAAAATAAGACCTAACCTGAAAATAAGTCCTAGTATGATTTTTCAGGATGCTCGTAATATAAGCCCCACCCCAAAAATAAGCCATAGTTAAGTGAAACCCCGCGTTCAACCATTGTGCAGCAACCAGAAGAAGATGACATGACGGTATTTGAATAAATGTAGATTGTTGTACATGAAAAAAATGAAACATCCCTTAATGCGTTTTTGGAGCAAAAATTAATATAAGACCTTGTCTTATTTTCGGGGAAACAGGGTATTTTAAAATGCTCCAGAGAACCCATTTTTATTAAGCTGCAAATTGAGTGCAAATGACTTATTATTCTGTAGTGAAATAATACAGGCAAGCAATTATCTTGTAGAAACACCATAAACACCATCTTTTTTTTTTTAAAGAAATTTAACATGGCTCCTAATATATAATTTTGCTTCGCTTTATTTTGCTCTCTATTTTAAATTTACAATGAGCATGACGAGTATTTCTCTGCTACTTTAGGTTGGTAAACTGAAAGAAGTCGTTTCCAGTCTTGTTTTAAATATCTAGCAGCCGAGAAATTTGTCGTTCCTTCCTGTGAAATGATCCCATTTTCTTTTAGATAAATGTTACTTATCAGAGTGTGGAGCCTGCTTCGTATTCGTGGTATTCTCCTCTCCTCTCCCATCCACTGCAGAATAAGAGCTAGTTCTGAAACTTAAAAATAAAAAGAAAGAAGTGTAGTTAGAAGACAACTGGGAGCTCAGGGGCTCCAATCTATAATTGCTTCATCAGGGAAGTGTTGCTTTATGTACCAAACAGTTGTCAAACAGGAATGATCAAATGTGAAGCCGGTCCTGTTGAAAACAAAGCTATCCATGTGTTCTGTGGGAAGTTATTAAATGGATCTGTCAAGAAAAGCATTTCCTGTACATCTGTTTTGCCCCCTTTGTGGGATTTTACAAAGGGTTTTAGAGAGTGAAAAGCATTATTTCTGGAGGTTTCTGTTTTGTTGCCTCTGACGCTCACGGATGCCTGTGTTTCCCAAATAACAATTTGCCTTACTTTTTAATTTTCAAAATATTGTGAGCAAAATGCACCATACAAAAATAGGCCATGGAGTAGCTCCATGTTTAAAGTGTCTGTTCTTTTTCATGAGAAAGATTACATTGGATAAAAATCCAAAGGAATATTTTGACCCTTCTCTGAAAGTTATTTTGCACCCTTTAGGGGAACAGCTGGCCCACATTTTCAGTGACTTCATGGCAAGCTATTTCAGGCAGCTCTTTCACCTAGCTCTCCCCTAGAAAATCAAGGAATCTGGTTTGTGGGATACTATATTTACTATTCCATATTTACTGTTTTATTTGGAAAAGGTGATGCTGAAATGAAAAATGTTTTCCCCCCATTCTAAACCACTTTCACAAAGAATACATGTAAAGTCACTGGAAAACTAATAAACTTTGGCACAGCAGCTAATGGAGCTGAAGTGACTAATGATACAGAAATATCAGAGAAGAACGAGGTCTTGAGTTTCTGTGCATTGGCAAAGATGTATTGTGTCTGTTTTGTTCTAATTTTTTAAATCTGTCTTTCAGACCTACGGCTGCAGAACTTTTAAAATGCAAGTTCTTCCAGAAGGCGAAGGTAAAAAATTTTTTCAATACAGCAGCAAAATCTGCTGTGCCTTAAAGTCAGTATGAATTTTTCTGCTTCACTGAGGGTAGTCTTACTTATTACTCCATTGGCTTTTACAGACTCGAGAATACTTGATTGAGAAGCTGCTTACAAAGACACCTGATATAGCACAAAGAGCAAAAAGGGTAAGATTCCTTACACTTCCATATCATGAAAAGCAGAAGGGCAACTAAGGCTTTGTGGGCCTGGGGTGGGAAGGGCTAGAGTAGTCTTGCTGTGATGATTGGCCTTTGGAGCATATTTGTACAGTAGGATATACATACTAGTTGATAGTCTGTTTAATAGCAGCTCGATTACATCCTGATCATTTCTTTTGTGTGCCCCAAGATCGGCGCTAGAACTGTTCCTGGAAGGACATGTGTGTTGCTCTCTTGAAACTGAGTGAGACCAGGAGTAGAATTAATGTTGGAGCTGCTCACAAATCTAGGGCCCCGTTGGATATCCCCTGAAGTCATTGTCCATCCTCATCTCTTCCCCGTGTCTCCCAGGCAGATCAAGTTCAGCGTTCCCAAAGTGAGGTCCCTGCAGGTGTGGGGGTTGCAGCTCCTGTTAGCTTCTGGCAGCACTGCCAGTGTTCAGACATGGAGAGATGTAGTGTCATCACCTTCAGTGTCTCCTTGTTCCCTCTCCTCTGGTATACGCCGTTGGGTACTGAGGTGGGGAAACATGTTTTCCTCCAGGTATTGTTAAAAAAAAAAAAAGCAAAGTGTGCTGCTTATATACTGCCCCATAGTGTTTCAAGCACTCTCTGGGTGGTTTACAAGTTAGTTATGCAGGCTACACCTTGCCCCCCCCCCGCAAGCTGGGTACTCATTTTACCGACCTCGGAAGGATAGAAGGCTGAGTGAACCTTGAGTTGGCTAACGGGGATTTGAACCCCAGGTCATGAGCACAGTTTTAGCTGCAGTGCAGCAGTTTAACCACTGTGCCAGGAGTGGAAGGCTGCACCTTCCATCAGACTTTGCAGGCATAGCCAGTGGTGAGGAGCAATGACTACACCTGGAAAGCCACACATCTGCTATCCCTTGTGTAGGTGGTGTGGATGGAATGCAGAATGTGGCAATGCATTATGTGGCCTTCTTGAATTGGCTTCTCCTAGTGGGCAGACTAAAATTTAATCCAAGATCTCTGATGGTGGCTTGCCACTTTGCTGTGTTTCCTTTTCCCCTGGTCAAATAGGAATCTTGAGTTTTCAAAGAAAGCAGTGCAGAGTGGTGCATGTATGTAAATGCAAATCATTTGGCAGTCCTTTGTTTGAAAAGTTGGGATGAAAAAATCTAGCCAGCTGCTGTCTAGGGTGGAGTTTGAGACCACAGTCCCACTGGCATTTGCCACTTGCATTTGAACTCACCTTAAGCAGTAGATCTGGCATTAATGACTTTCATATCTTTGAGACATTCAACAAATTTTTTCCTGCACTATCCACAATACCTTGGTGCACAGCCTGAAGGGGTTGAAGGAACATCAAAAGCTGTTTGATTTTTTTAAACCTGAAGGGGTTGAAGGAACATCAAAAGCTAACTGTTTGGATTTTTTTAGTGGTCTAATAAAGGCATTGCCCTCTCTTGCATTTGTGTAATAGATCACTGGGGCATTTAACAATAGTTAGCTGGGCCTTTATATTCCTGTGAGGAGTGCAAAGCAAACATTTCTCAACTTGGCATATTGTGTCAGAGCAACATGGATCTCACCATGAAGCAATTGATTTTTTTTTCCCTATTCATAGAGCTTCAATATTAAAGGTATTTAGGATTGTACCTTTTACAGGCAACCACTAGCTTCAGATGACAGGATTCACTGAGTCTATGATTCCTTCTATGGGGCTAATCTCTTCATAGGTCTCAACACCAAAAGAGCAAACAGCTTGCTTTTCCAACGGCTATTGGTAACCCAGTTCCATTAGAGACAGATAAAACGTGGGCTCAGAGACCGCCACTAGATGGAGATCGTGGCTAATCCATTATCTTTCCCAACAGGCCACTTTTTCTTTCAAATACATAGGTCTTATTTTGTTTCTTTCTTTGGAAAGCTCTGGTGTTGCTGGTAAATTGTGGCATTGCTGAATGAGTTTAATATATCCCATTTAGGAATAGAAATCCTTGCTTGGTTTGTGCCTACAAGTAGGATGAGGAGCTGCTATATTCCTCTTGCCAGGAAGACTTGTGGGGGGGTGTGATTTTTGCAGGCACTCTTGCTACTGTACTGCCATCAGTGAGAACCATGTTCTGCAAAAAAAAAAATTGGACAATTAGTGTAAAGTTATGCAATTAGCTTAAAGCTAGGACAGTTGAGTCTTTGTTTCATGGTCGTTTAAGAATGTGAAACATTCGATTGGCTGTTTGTGTCTTAACAATTAGGGCAGTCCGTCTGTGCTAGCTGTGTATGTTTGTGTTTTGGTTTTCCAGGGAGAAGGACGCTAGTTTTGCACACATGGATTGTGCACGACTCATGAGGATCTTGAGAGGAAAGGTTTGTAGGGTGGAGGCAAGGAACCTCACAGGACTTCAATTGTTCCTCCCTTGAGGTGTCTTCTCAAGTTGAAGTTGCCCAGATTAATGAGAAGAAAGGATTTAGGAAGCAGTTTTTTTTTCTGCACCTAATCATGTTCTTAAAATGCTGAATGTTTTTTTTTAATGTGGGTAAATGTAGGAACTGATCCAGTTAGATACTCAGTGTTAGCAAACCCCATTTATTTCAGTGAAAGCATTATAGGATACCATTTGGTTCCCCCCATGAAATTAACTCAAAGTGGTTAGTAGGACATGAACGTGCTCAACGGTAGCTGGATCAAATCCTTTTGCTTTTGTCAAATAGGAAGATTCAGATGAAGATTCGGGTATTGGAAACAAGTCAGGTTGAATTGCAAGAGGAGAAGCTAACAGCTTTAAAGTCTTGGTGTGCGAAGTTTGTTGCTACCTATCAATAGCTATAACACAGACCAAGTATTGGTTGCCTGACCCCATATAATTCATATCTACAGCATGTGATGTATTTATCACATGCTATGGGACCTTTGAGAAGTCACTCATTCGTAGGGTTGCCATCTTCCAGAAGTGACACGACAGCACATAACAGCAGTCTGTCTCTGGCATGGATATATATACGTATATCAGTTTGCCTCACTTCTTGGGATTTTTACTTACTAAACTTTTCTGCTGTGCTACTCTTTCACACTCATTCACTGTGTGAAAGAGATCTGAGCCTGCCTCCCTTCAGTCTTATGTGAGCCATGGGATGCAACATTTACACACACCGCAATTTTCAGGCAGGTGAAATTGTGTCAGTAGGTTAGCAATCTGCTTCTTCTAACACTTTTTGCTAAGGGCATCCCAGTGCAGCCCAGGAGTCAATGTACATTTCCTGCATGAATCTTGTTCCATTGATGTCCTTTTAGATCAGCTACTTTCTGGACTACAGCTCCCAGAACACCCCGTCCTGCTTTGTGAGTCGTCAAAAGTTGACGACTCATGAAGCACGACGTTGCCCCATGAACCGACAAATAACAAATTTATTCAGTTTGTGGTGGTTACTAAAAAAACAAACACCACCTGCCCCCACACTGTCACCGCCACCCCCTCTGCCACCTCCCACTGCTGCGCCCTTAGCCTGCCTTAAGGGAATCCATGCTGCCCTTTGCAAAGATGGGGGCTGCAGCTTCCTTACCCTAAATGAAGCCACAGCTGCCATCTTTGCAAAGGGCAGCCAGTTTCCCTTTCTACAGCTGTGGAGGCCTAAGGGAGACCTTGGCAGCGACAGTGACGATTACAGTACAGGGGTGTCGGTGGGGTGGGAGGCTAAAGTTGAGAGAGGAAGGGGGTGGGGGTAGGCTGTGGTGGTGGGTGATTGGGCTGTCAATCAGCTGATCGGCAGGCTGTTAGGCAGAATGCAAAAGCCATAGGATGGCTTTTAAAAAAACTTGCATGAAGACAAATAAAAATGGGAAAATATTCATCAATCCATTATTTGTCGGGACTTAAAATTTGACAAATACGGATCTATGAATATATGACGAATCGGCTATATTTGTCAAAAAAAAAACGATCCGTTTTTATATTTGTCTCCATCTCTAGTATCAACCCTCTGAACTGGTTTGTTGCTGCTATGCTTAAATTGAGTCTTCTCAATACATGGTAGAGAAATCTACCTTCCTAGAAACAGCGCATTTCACGCACTAGCAAGGTTGCACTCATTTCACATGCTAGCAAGGTTATGCTCAAAATCCTACAAGGGAGGCTTCACCAGTATGTGAACCGAGAACTCCCAGCTGGATTTCAAAGGGGCAGAGGAACTAGAGACCAAATTGCTATCATGTGCTGGATTATGGAGAAAGCCAGAGAGTTCCAGAAAAACATCTACTTCTGCTTCAATGACTACGCAAAAACCTTTGACTGTGTGGACCACAGCAAACTATGGCAAGTCCTTAAAGAAATGGGAGTGCCTGACCACC